TCTTGTAAAAATCCCTTAATTTCTTCTTCCGTTAGAATTCTGGACTATTTCGGACGGTATCCAACTGATTTGCCTTTCAAATATGGTATTAGTTTTGGAAATTGTCTGATATTTACATTTTTTTGGCATTCATTGTACTTTTTAACATGGAATATACTGACCATAACGTCGTTTGTATATTTTCCACCTAATTATTTAATTTCTATTAGCACCATTTATCATTTAACATTTTAAATATACAATATTGTATATTTTTGCAAATATAGCAAGATATCAAAGAAGTATTAAACTATTTTTGAAAAAGTTCTGTTCAGTTCTGACGCAGAACAGTAATTAATTGTAGACTGCTAGGCAAGTCATTCTTGCCTGGTTGAAACTAATTATTGAAAGTTATATTTCAGGTGTCATCGGCAGTATGAATCCTGGCTCATCCCCAAACTTCGCTCCAATTTCTCCGAGCTTAGATCAGGACCACCACCTATCGGAACTTCCTGGCAAGACGAGAAGGAAAAAATCTATAACAAACAGCGACGCATCGGACGAAAACTCTAAACTGTACGACCAAGTAGCCTCTGGACTGAAGAAACTGATTTTCGATGAGAAAAACAAAATTCAGGAAAGAAGCAGCTACGACGACCTCCAGAGCAGAATAAACGACCTAAGATACCAGTTAGGTGAGCCTAAATTTAGTCCGGTACCAGTTTAAAATGTTCTTTCGCTTTTCAGAAAGCGTGACCCATTCAAGGGAAGGCCCAATTTTAAACACTAAACTAAACAGGTACCAACCGCCGTATTACCAACACAACAGTTTTTACTACTCTCCTCCAAAAGTACGCCCGTTCGAGATGACCGCAGCTGCGCCAAAGAAAAATTACGTTTTCACGGAATTGGTTATAAAAATTCTTGACAAATTAATTGCGTCGACTCCCGCGATACTTGAAAGATTGTTCGGTCACGGGCTTACGGAACTTAGCAATTTCGACGTGGGTCAAGGGGGCCAGAACGACGTACAAAAACTATTCGCCAGTTTAGGTTTTTTCGGATATGGGCCTCTGATTTTCTTAAGGCTGGTAGATGGCTTTACTACGTTCGTGAGCATTTTAAGAAAGAACGAATTTTTCAAAAATTTCCTAACGCCCACTTTTATAGTATTGCTTGTAGCGGGAGCTGTGGTCTTTCTAGTGTGGTGGTTACAGCCCAACGTCGATTCCAAACCTCAACCCAGCGGCTATTACTATAAATATAACGAGCCGTATTCGAACTACAATTATCTTCGTACGGGGTATGGTAATAACAGTAATAATTACGGTTATAGGGGTAGTTACAGACCTCCGGTTTATTCCAGGAACTATTTGGAGGAAGGTAGTTTAATTTAAGGATTTCGTCGCGTTAGGCTCTTATAGTGTGCTTATTTTTGTATCAGATTTTTATCCAGTGGTGTTTTATATTAAAAAAATGTGATTTGCAATGTTTTTATTTAATTTACCAAATATTCAGATGGGAAAAGGCGAAATTTACACGTTTAAAAATTGGTCCATATACAGGGTGACCTTTTATTTAATTTATACAGGGTGTCCGTTAAAGAATGGGCCAAACTGTACCACTAGATTCTACGACAATATTAATGGGGAAAAGTGATATACAATGTTGCTCATAACTCTAGTTTTCGATATACAGGGTGTTAAACTTAAAAAGAAAAACGACTACTTCGAGCTAATTTCATGAAATTTCGTATTTATGGGTTTTTTGGAATGAAAAATTCGGATTTATCGACGATTTCGTTGTATCTTCTAGAGGGCGCCACAAGCGACGCATTTAAACTGCCAAAACTTTGTTGTGCCACCGTGTATGGCACTTTAGGCTGGAAAAATCTTTCCCCCAACTTTTCTGTTTAAAAAAGGTATCAAAATGACATTTAAATTTGTAAATGCAAAAAAAAATTTTTGAAAGTTATTTTTATAAACATTGACAAACAACGTATCTTTTAAAACAGGTCAATAATAATTAGTTATTTTTTAGATTGTGTTAGATTGATTAGATTATTTTTAGAAAGTATGTTTTTTTACTCTGTCAATTCTGTTTGTAGTAAAATTGTTAAATAAACGAAATTTAAAATTGTAATTGCCTTTAAAAGCATATTTTTTGCTAATAGACGATTGCTCCTATTTTCGTTTATGAAAATAACTTTTACACCAATTTTTTTTATGCATTTACAAATTGAAATGCCTTTTTGTTGAAAACGGTAGGCTTTAGAGACATTAGCACTTTTTTAGGCAGAAATGTTGGGGGAAAAGATTTTTCCGTCTAAAGTGAAATACACCGTGACACAAAAAAAAATGTCAGTTTAAATGCTTCCTAATGGTCGCTTGTGGCGCCCTCTAGAAGATACAACGAAATCGTCTCAACCCAAAAAGCGCCCGGATACGAAATTTCACGAAATTAGCTTGAAGTGGTCGAAAGATATTAAAGAAAATGTTATTTTTGTTACTTCAACACCCTGTATCTCGATAACTCAGCGTTTATGAGCAACATTGTATAAGACTTTTCCCCATTAATTTTCGTCGTAGAATCTAGTGATACAGTTGGGTCCATTTTTTAATGGACACCCTGTATAATACTGTCGCTTTGAAGATAATTTAGTACACTCTTCCATCATCTAAAATTAGATTGATTTTGGAAGGTACTATAATATTTATTTTCCGTTTGTATGTCGAAAAATTAATATACATATATAGGGTGTCCTAATTTATAGGTGTTGTGTTGTTAATATTATAAGCAAAAGACAAATGAATTTCAAATGTTTCCTATTAAATATCTGAAACTTATAACTTCCTCAAAATTGCAAATAATAAACCTGCTACTTCTTTAATAGTTGCCAAATTTTGAAAAATTGTATTACCGTTTCTTATGTGTAGAATAATTACACGACGTCCTTTATTCTACACATCTCAAATTCTCCTTTTATCAATTTATACAGGGTGTTTTACATACATAAAAAGGTATATCATCTTACTCAATGATACTTGACATATCTGACTTTTTGAGGTTAGGTTTTTTACGAAATGTATTATATATTTTAATGTAAAATGTAATTTTACATAAAAAATGTACTCTTGTTGGGATGGCACTTTTTCGAGAAAAATGCAATCGACTGTCTCCAAGTTGACCGTAGAGGTTGGTCAACTTGGAGACAGTTGATTGCATTTTTCTCAAAAAAGTGCCATCCCTACTATACAGATTGTTCGGAAATAAAGCCTACTTGGATAAAGATAAACTAATCTGGTTACCTTAGTAGAAACTTGTTCTCTTTAAAAGTTACGATAGTATTAGTTAAAAAGATTTTTTTTGATTGCTGATAACTTTCTAGTAAACAAGATAAATTTACAATATAATATACACCAAAATAAACCTAACCTCAAACTACATAATTAAGTCATAAAATATCACTGAGTAAGGTCGTCTAGTGACCTCCAGCAGATGGTCAAAAACTAACGAATCGTTAGTTTAATTAGTAACGACAGTAACGGATTTTCCACCCTTGAAAACTTACCTATACTAAATTTCAATACGTTATGCCGTTTTTCTGAAAAAAATACGGCTAAAATTTAATTAAAAAAAATATTTGATGCCCTACATATCAACAATAAAAGTCTTATATTCATAAGACAATATAGGAAAGAAATTTTTATTTTTTGAGGCTCTATCAGTCCTTAAATTTTTGCTTTCTTTTTCCCAAACGGCTTGTATTTTATTGCTTATTTTACATATTGCTATCTCTGTGGATGTTCTATTTTAAATTTTATTCTGTTAATAATAAATAAATAAAATCACATTAAGCATAATTAAAATCTAAACATCAAATTTGGAGTCCAGTTGTCCTAATATAAACATTGTGTTTATTTGTTTCATTTGTTTCTTACTTATTATGTTAATGCCCCGCCTTTACGCCAAAAAAAAAATTACACCAATTTTGAACAGCTGCGCCCTCTAGTTACACTTCAATTACAATTATCTTTTAGCCTGTTCTATGTATTACCAATCCATCCTCAATTAATGTCTTACTCTATGGTGCCTATTCAAATGGAACCAATAATATTCATTGTGGCGTCAGCACAGGCAGCCATTGGTTGATGCGTTTTATCTATCTTTTTCTAATTGATTTTATTGAAGCGTTTCGGCACTTGCATGAAAAATCAAATGATAATTTTATTCTACGGTTTTAAAATAATATCAGTATTTTTATTTACACCTAGTTTTCTGTTATGTTGTTAAACTTTTAAAAAATATGTAAGATCCACAATTACTTTTTAGAGATAGTTTTACTTTATTTTTACTAATTTTATTCAACTAAACTAAAAACTAGTATGCTTTGTAAACTGAAACAATTTCAACTCACTGTGGAATCTTAGATATGTCAGTCATTTTGTCACTTTTATTATTATTGTGTTAGACATTTACAGATTTCATATAAAAATATTTTTTAAGTGACCCTTAAATACTAGTTGTGAGAGGTAAGTAAATTATATATTTTGAACTGGTCTATATTAATTTTCATTTACAATATGCTTAAAGTTTTATACTACGAGAATGGATCTGGACCCAATAGACTTCTTTCCTGGCTATGATCCCTACTACTGCTTTCGACAACAGTGCAATCGTCGTACCACCTTGACAAGTAATATTTTCTACTTTATGAATTTTTATTCTTTTAATAAAAATGTTTGTTGCTTTTTAGATATATGTACTCATTTACTAGCGATGTTACTAGCTGTTGGAATTTGTGGAGCTGCGTTTTATTGTAAGTGCGAAAGACTGGAATATGGTTTTTCCAGCCATGTATTTGTTTTAGATTATGAAAACTACAGGCAATCCGAATTTGATTTCTTCAGAGATACCACGTCGATCTCAGGTTTACCAGAGAGCGATGTAAACATAAATGATATTAAAATGGAAATGGAAAAGCTTAAGGAAAGCTTAGAGGATACACATCACTGGAAGCAGGTATTACGAGAATAAAATATCCCGTTAAATGACACAATTTTTATTTTCTAGGAACCAACTGACTGATCTTTTCACAAAAATTTACGTTCAACAGGAGGCGGTTATAGTGGAGAAAATTAGTAAAGCGTTGGACGTATACGACTCTGACAAAATAGGAATGTTTGGTAAATATATTTTATCGCATAACTACAAATAAAACTTTAGAAATTTTCAGATTACGCTTCAACGTATGCTTGCGCTTCAATATTCTCCACCCCGGACACCTTTCCTTACCCGGCTAACAAGTCGATAAAGTTCTTCAACTTGTTAAACATGGATCTCCTATCGAACCCCGAGGCGATACTCCAGCCCGCCAACTACCCGGGAAACTGCTTCGCCTTCTACGGATCCACGGGCAAGATTAGGATAAAACTGGGGAGGAAAATAAACATAAAATCCGTAACGATTGACCACATAAAACTCATGGAAGACGCCAGCAGCGCACCGAAAGATTTTGAAGTTTCCGTAAGCGAAATCGCTTTGAAGCAAGTCAACTCTGTTCACGGTTTCGTGTTTTAGGGCCTATACGATCCCTTGGATATAGCAGGGGTATTTCTCGGACGCTTCTCTTACAATCTGGAGGGCCGTCCGTATCAGACTTTCATGGTGCAACCGAACCAAACGAACACACCGTTCGAATACGTGGAGTTGTCCATTTTAAGCAATTACGGGAGGCGCGAGTTCACTTGCGTCTACCGTTTCAGGGTGCACAGTATGTACCCCACGGAGACAGAGGCGCTGAATTAACGATGTAAGTTGCAAACCCCTAATGTCATATAAGTCAAATGTTCAGTTCGGAGAGTTGTAAATAAATTTTTCAGTGCAGATTTGAATAGTTTTGTATTTTGTAATAATAAATATGAATATTAACAAAAATCGTTGGCTACAAAAATCTCTATAACGCTACACTTTTTCCTACTGAAAAAGTCTTTGGACCTGATAATATCACTAGCCATTTCCGCTAACATCATCACCGCTCCGTTCACATTTCCGCTTGTTATAGTGGGCATCACTGAAGCGTCAACGACGTACAAATTATTAGTACCTTTAACTTGGAAATCGTAGTTTACCACAGCCGAAACGTCTTGTTCGTGACCCATTTTACACGTACCGACGGGATGGTAGGAAGTTATCGTTAAATGCCTTACGTAACATTCCCAGTACGCTTTACTGTCAAACTTGAAATTTTCACAACCGGGAAATATATTCGTGTTTAATTTCGCCCCGAGTTTCTGCATAGACCTCGTATTTATCAACTTCTTTATTAAATTTATGCCTTTTAACAGAACTTCGATGTCCGCTTGTTCCGTTAGATATCTCGGATCGATAATCGGCGGGCTGTTAACGTTAGCGTCTCTCAAACGAACAATACCGCGACTCTTCGGATGCAATAATATCGGTAAAATAGTCATCGCTTTCGTCTGATTTAAATAACCGAAGTAATTATTCCACGTATAATCGCTTATACCCATTAAATGCCTTAGGTGTACACCGGTGTCTTCGTTTATACCTAACGGCATTACCATAAATTGCAAATCAGGTTGTGTGTCACGATTAACATCAGTACTGTCTGTGTAAACGAATGCTAGAACCTCACATCCACCCGTGGTCCACGGCCCCGTACCGTACCAAAAGTATTCAAAAACCGAGTAAGGCGAAAGCATTTGTTCAATTCCGATGCCTAAGGTTTGATTTAATAATATAAGATCCAGTCCTGTCGTTATGTGGTCTTGTAAGTTGTCTCCCACAGGTAAGTTAACTTTGGTAGCGATATTTATTTTGTCTAGATGAGTTTTGGGGCCTATTCCGGAGAGTAGGAGGATTTTAGGAGTACCTATAACCCCTGCTGATAATATTATGCCTCTGGATGCTTTTACGCTGTATGATTTGCCTAGATGCGAATATTGAACGCCATAAGCCTCAAAGTTTTGGCGAAATAAAACTTTTTCCGCTACCCTATTTGTTCGGAGAAAAACATTTCTGTTTTTTACTTTCAATAAATGATGAGAGGACGTCCAACGTTTTCCTTGTTTCATATTAACTTTTGGCATTCCAAAACCTGAAATATTACTTCTGAATTGTATTTACATAGTACAAACTAATAGTCAGTTTAGATACCTTGTTTGCAATTAGTTACGTCTGAAATTCCGAAATTTAACTCTTTTCCAGCTTTTAATATTAAATCCGGCAAAGATGATTTGAAAACCAAATCGCTAAGATACATCGAACCACTTAAATCATCTAAAATAAATTGGATTTGAAAAAAGAAACCTAGTATAATTGTTTCATACCATCATGCACATCATTTTCTAATTTTTCAAAATATGGCAAAACGTCCGTCATAAAATCATAATTACTTCTATTAATAAACCACTGCCTAAAATCCTCTGGATGTCCTCTAACGTAAACCATATTATTTAACATACTAGTGCCTCCAACAATTTTCCCCATTGGCCAATGGCTTGCCTGTAGAGTTTTTTATGTATAATTTTATTTTAATGTCAAATTCTACTTACATTATTGTCTAATGCAAAACAAGACGTTGTTTGTGGGGCAGTCACATACTGCCAATCGTAGGGAGTATTTTGTAGTAATAGACCCATTGATGGTATATCTAACAGTGCACTACCTTGCTTTCCCGCTTCCAAAATAAGAATTTTTACATTCTTATCTTTGGCTAGTCTTTGAGCAACTAACGCACCAGCAGAGCCACAACCCACTAGGTAAGATTAATGTTACTCATTAATTTAAAATGATATAAATACTTACCAATAACGTAATCAAATTCGGTATAAAGTAAATCATTTTCTGCACAATTAAAACAAAAAAGTGAATCCACATAATCTGCATACCTTATAAAAAATACGAATAAGTTGATCAAAATCAAATAGAAGAGAATTATAACAAAACGAGTGTTTAAGTACATTTTTATTTAATTGAATTAAGCTACATTTTTCCTAGGGTTAAAAGAATTGCATCACTTTAATCGATAACATTTCACAAATCCAAGCATGTGTGTAAACATAACCTAGTAAATTGTAAAAATAGAAAATTGATATATCAGAACTATTGATAATTGCAGTAATTGTACTACTTGTTATAAAGTTTATAACGAGCACAGTATACTAATCAATCAGTAGGGAAACTTAAATGATTTATGAATGAATTCCGTATGGCAATTTTTAAATACCCCCACCCTAGGAAAAGTCGCTAAGAATATGGCGGATCTTTCGAGCATATACTATTGGAGGCATGCCATTACGAAATTTGTGGCTGAGTGTGCGAGAGAAACAGACAGTACCTCAGTAAATGCTGTCTCACTCTAACACGCCACGATTGGTTGGAAATGAATGCTCCAACCAATCGTGGCGTGCTAGAGTGAGACAGTATGTCTAAGATACTGTCTGTCTCTCAGCCACGCTTTTCGCAATGGTATGCTACCTCTAGTAGTATAGTAAACTAGATTTATGAATGAAAATATGAGAACGGAAATCGTAATAACTGTCAGTCGCTAACAAAATGGTGGAAATATGGAAGACGCGGGAAACGTAACTTTCCCTACTGATTGATTAGTATACTGTGATAACGAGGAAATATGGTAGTTCATACGATGAAGAAAATATATATTAGAACTACAATTCACTATATAAAAAGGTACATTCTTTTTAACAAACTGATCTGATCTGACATCTAAAAATTCAATCAATTTAACAAATATTAAAAGAAACATATTTCACAAATGAATCAAAGTTGAATACTGAAGTATTAAAAAGTTTTCTTTTAATTTTAAAAAACTTTATATATTAATTGTTCTTATGATGTTCAGTCCTTGGTGGAAACATGTAATAAAAAGGAAAGGAAAGCACCTAAAATCCAGAAATGCCAACTGCTTAAAAATTAAAAAAACAATTTCTTTTCTGCATGAACCGTCCCTGTGGCGTCTTTTCACGTAAGTTTTTAATTAATTTTCTTTAAATATATTTATCATCGCTTAGTATTTATATGTAATTTGCTTTAATTTTGTAAAATATTTATCAAATAAATTATACCTTGTATGTAGTGTAATGGGTTTTATTCCATATTTTAGAAAACTTGAATGGATATTTTGTCTCGCATGAACACAACTCGAGAAAATAATTCAAATACATTTATGTAAACAAAATGATATTTTACTTTCTTCATGTTTATATGTTTTACTTATTAGATTAAAATGTCATATTTGAAGAAACGGTATAATCAAATATTTTATGAAAAACTGCATTATTTGAACATAACCTAACATTTATCTGTTTGCTTCAGGTTTTCCGTAACTCACATACAACGTAAAGATGTCGGGAGGTCTAGAAGTCCTTAGCCTTAGAGAGGACGACGTTACCAAGATGTTGGCGGCCGGCACACATCTTGGAACGACCAACGTTGATTTCCAAATGGAACAATATGCCTACAAACGCCGTGCTGATGGTGTGCACATCATCAACTTGCGCAAAACGTGGGAGAAACTCCTGCTGGCCGCACGTGCCATCGTTGCTATCGAACACCCAGCCGAAGTTTTCGTAATTTCATCCCGTTCGTACGGGCAGCGTGCTGTACTGAAATTCGCCGCACATACCGGCGCAACTCCTATTGCCGGAAGATTTACTCCTGGTAAGTCATTTGATCGTCCAAATATTTAAATTCTTGTGTGTTTAAAAATACATATTGCACAAACTGGTAATTATTTTTTATGCCGTATTAAATTTTGTACTTTTCTTCGTTCAATGATGAGACTACTAAGGAACCTATGACTGTAGGTGATTTTATTGTTTGTTACTGACTTACACAACAAGCGAGTGGGTGCAAATAGTTTTTTGTCACTTGAAGATTATTAACGAATAAACATTCTTAGGTGCGTTCACGAATCAGATTCAAGCAGCTTTCCGTGAACCACGTCTGCTGATCGTCACCGATCCAGCTTTCGATCACCAGCCCATCACGGAAGCCTCATACGTCAACATTCCCGTCATTGCACTTTGCAACACCGACTCTCCTTTGAGGTTCGTCGATATTGCCATTCCCGGCAACAACAAATCTGCCCATAGCATCGGTCTTTTGTGGTGGCTGCTGGCTCGTGAGGTAAATTTAATATTTTACTGTTTGCAACAAATTTAATGGAAGTTTCCGATCGGTTGAGTTGTACAAGATCATTTGTAGATTATTTGGACAAGTTTATATATTGATCGTTATTTATTTGTTTTTGTGTCCGTTCAGGAATAGTGTAAAAATATTAGAAATTCAAAACTGTCTGTTTATAGAAAGTCTATAGAGGGACACTAAACGGGGTTGAGATTTTTTTTTTTTAAATTAGAATGTAGAGTTTATAAAAGTAGATAATTGTCAGTTTCAGCCGTTTTGGTTGATGCACACCTCGCACGTTTTTGTTGCAAGGCCCTGTATCTCGACATCTTTGAACTAAGTAAGACATTTACATTATCAGGTGGTTTTTCAACGTAAATCTTTCCATGTTTAAACAAGATGCTGTTGCTGCAGCCTGTTACCATTAAATTACAGCCTGTAAATTAAAAGGATGCCTGCAACACAAGTTCATTATTTTAGTGAAAGAATTCCATTTTTTTTTAATGTAAATAATGAAAATTGACAATCGAGAAAACATTGATAGCATGTACTCAGCACTCGGACGTTTTTTTTTTTTTTTTTTTCCAGACATCAAAAATCAAACTACCACAGCAGTACATATATTTATAAAATTTTTAATTTGGATCTCGAACGTTCTGTAAGAAATATCAAGAAAACTACTTTATCCAATGGTTGAGTGATTTCCAGGCTGGTTGCTACGTTGTCGATTTACAACTTGACATTTCGAGACATATCAACAAGAGTTGTAAATCGACGATGTGGCAGCCAACCCGGAAATCATTCAACCATTAACGACAGCCACGGAAGCCTACAAATAATACTTCATCCAATGTTATAATACCAAGCTCGTATCTATCACATATACAACTTATTTTTAATTTTCGTTTTTAATTGAATTAAGGCGGGAAAACCACATTAGGAGGCTGACTTTGGGGCGTTTCTCATAAAATTATTTGAGTGGGACAAATTGATTAGAATTTGATTAAAATTTAATATTATTTTATCAACATTTTCAATTACATTTACAAATTTTTTTAAGTCAAGTTGGTCACGGTATATGTTGATGTCGCAATTTTGATATGAAAAAAACAATTTTTCGTGGGTCCCTTTGTCTTTGAAGCCAAAAAAATTTGGTCGCATATTTAAATTTCTTAAAAATTATTAATACACTAGAAAGTCACTACATTTAGAAATTTTTTTGTCCCTTATTTTTTTTTTGAGAAAAATGTCAAAATGTGAACGAATGTATATTGTGATTTCACCATTTTTCTCAAAAACATTGTTTTACGAAAAAAATATCAAGAGTCATAAAAGTTTATCAATTCAATGGCTTTCTACCAAACTAATATTTTTTAAGAAATTCAACTGGGTTCATAGCGGCCAGGAATACCAGAAAAAGTCGGGGAATTTAAAAAATGTTCATGAAAGTCAGGGAATTTGATGTTTGCAACTGGAAATTTTGTAAAAGCGGACCCTGGGTTCTTGAAAGAGAAAACTATTTGTGGCTTTTGAAACCTTCATAAGAGGTTCCTTGGGTATAAAAAAGATTATGAAGTCCAGTTGAGAAAAAGTTTAATACATAAACACCAATTAGTACGTAAAAATGAGCCAGGGAAAACCTGGAAAACTCAGGGAATTCTTTATTACTTTTGAACTATGAACCCTGTTCAGTATGCAACCAAATTTTTTTGGTTCCAAAAACTAGGGGACCCACGAAAAAGTGTCTTAAGTTCTTCGCCAAAAAGCTTAGCACTATGAGATTCCATGTCATAATACCCCTTTGTACTAAATTTATCGATTCTCCTACAACATGGTTCTGAGATATATAAACAAGATTATTCTTAGGGGCGGATTTCAGGGGACTGTAACTCCAAAAGAGGGAGCCACTTGGCAAAAATAAAAAAAGGGTCCCCTAAATTTGTCTTAAGAATCTATGACCAAATTTTGTTGCATTAATTTCGGGACACCCTATATAGTCGTCTGAAGCATCTCTAGAAAATCTCGTATGAACCGGTTCCAAGACTTTCCATTTTTTAAGTTTGTAACTATCAACTAATTTCTTCGATGTAATTAGTTTGCTGGATCTGCAAACATTACGAGACGTTATTTGATCAAGTGGACTCGTCAAAGCTATTATTTACGTTGAAATGTCACAATTTTCGTTTACCAACGACTTTAGCATCGAGTGATATGACCGTAACATTGAAGGATTTACTTTTTTTGATTTCTCCAAAAAGTATGCCGGAACCTACCATTTCACTGACACCATTGATGTTCTTTGGGCTTTTCCACTTTTGAAGGCATATATATATTTTTCTGTATAACAACTGCTATTTTCGGGGCAACAATTTCCCCACAACCTCTAATGCATCATTCCATGCCTGAAGGAAGTTTTTCTTTTCAAATTCATTTTTTCACATTACATTTTCCTTACAAAAAAAAAACAATTTTTAAATAAAGACATTTTTAAAAACAGTGACATTTCCTCATAAATTTACAAATAAAAATATTTCCCCCTTCATGACACAATCGTGGAAGTCCTCTAGAATCGTTAATTCCCGTTTTTGCGAGCAAAGCTGCATTAACAGCAACGTGTACGATTGGAAACTTCCATCACCTCTAAATAAATATATGATGACAAAAAATTTGTTCCCATACGAATCTGAACAACCATGATATTGCATAATTTTTCCACCTGATCTGGAAAAAAATAAAATTACATTATTTTTATAGAAAACCAAAGAATTAAACTCTATTTAAATATTCCAGGTGCTCCGTCTCCGCGGAATCATCCCGCGTGACACGAAATGGGACGTGGTTGTCGACTTATTCTTCTACCGCGAACCCGAGGAGGCCGAGAAGGAAGAACAGGCCGCAAAGGAAGCCGTCGCTGTCGTTAAACCACCACCGGAAATTGTTGCACCCATCGATACTCAAGAACTCGATTGGACTACAACTGAAACAACCGAATGGACCGCTGAGCCCGCCGTTCCTGTTCCTCCAGTCGCCGGTGCACCGGCTTTTCCCGCACCCGCTACTGATGACTGGGCGACCGAAGTTGCACAGGAACAGTGGTCTGCTACCAATACACCGGCTCAGCCGGCGGCGCCTAACTGGGGGGGATCCACCGATTGGCACTAAGGTTTTACCTTTTGACGTGAAATACACGATTTTGTATTGAATAAAGATTCTGGACATGTTTTTATTTGTTTTATTTAACACTTAATAAACGCAACTAAGTTTGTAACTGACCGAAAGAAATCATTAAAAGAAAAAATTTTATTGTGATATGAAAAAAATCAGGTATACAAAAAAAAAAGATAAAAAAAATGAGTGGTGGGGTAAGAAACTTGAGAAGTTAAAAAAAAATTCCGTTATTACGGTGGAATTGTAGCGAATCATGAAGGTCAAAAGTAGTTTCCATAGAAATATGTTCACCATAGAAAATCACATAACTTGATTTATATACAAAAGTATGCATTACCAATTCTTTAATTTTTAGGTCGATTCGTTATCGTTAGATTTTTCTGTTAAAAATTTGTACTTATATTTGTTGAGGGCACCACCATAATTTTTGCATTTTGTGTTGAAACTTGTAAAAAAATGTGTTTTATATAACAAAAATTAGTATCAATTAATACTCACAGAGGGCGCCACCACATTTTTTTTAATATCTCGCCTACAGTGTTTTAATTGTTACTTAAGTAAGGTACCCAGAAGGATTGGGATCTACAGTCCCAGCCAGGACAGGAGGAGGCCCCACGAACCGATCCAATCCGGCCGCGTTGGCGGTCCGGAATGACGGGGAAAGGGCCACCTCTACGAGGCGTCCGGGCCTACAGCGATGAAGTGGTTAAAGAGCGATAATCCCGCTCGACCCCGCTCCATCCGAGGTCATTTTTCCTGCCAAGGATATTGGCGGGATCTACAGTGTAGTGACTACCCAACTAGATCATGGAAAGATCTCTACAATATCGAAATTGTTTTGTAGTTTTGGTTTGACAGTTAGTCTAAATGTTTAGTATTTTTTTCTTTAAAAAAAAAATGAACCCTACCCCCCACTCTGGCAAAAGAATTACTAAAGATTAAAGATGTATATGAAGGCTTAATCCTTCTCCAGTCAACTTGTAATGGCAACATGTAAGTGGTGCCATCTATTAATAAAAAAAAAACAATTTTTATTGAACTATTAGGAGCAAAATTCCTCCATTTCGAAAATAAATCTGTAAATCCATATTCAATCTCTTAATTTAAATACCAAATTGGTTCCCATCAAACTATTACTTAACTTTTATTTTAGTGATGTGAGTGAAAATATATAACAAATTGATATATATCAATTTTTGATACATATCAGCTATTATATTTATGTTAATAGCTGATATATATCAATTTTCCCGCCATTTCATGAATAAAGCCAAATTTCAAACATAACCTTACATTTTAAAACTAAAAACTTGTGGTGTGGTAGGCTTGAGTTGGACTGTAGTAGCTCTTGGGTACCTGGAATATCTCCGTCAAAAATGAATATAAAAATCTGAAATTTTAGGGGTGTACTATAGATGGGAAGAACTAAGAGCGCACGTAATTTCAAGTCACCCCTTCCACCCTAGGGGGTGACGGGTGGTTTTTTTAGATGTACCCTACTCATTTTGCGAGTTTCGGATTCTATGCGTAAAACTACCCCCGAAAGCGCGTTCTTGCCGAATTCGCACAAAAACCAAACCACCACCCTCGTATGGATTTTGTCGTTTTTTCGATGAGCATTTTTCTCCTTCAAAAATAAATATAGAAATCTGAAATTTTAGGGGTGTACTATAAGTGGGGAGACCTAAGAGCGAACCTGATTTCAACTGGCCCTTTCCACCTTAGTAGGTGCAGAGGGGGTGAGGGGTGGTCTTTTAGACGTACCCCCAAGAACGCGTTTCTGGGGGTAGTTTTACGCGTACAATCCGAAAATCGCAAAATAAATAGGGTACGTCTAAAAAAAACCTTCACCCCACCCCCTAGGGTGGAAGGGGTGAGTTGAAATTACGTGCGCTCTTAGGTCTCCCCATTTATAGTACACCCCTAAATTTTCAGATTTTTAAGTACTACTTTAAAGCAGTTTCTTTATTATCATAAGTTTTTGATAATTTTTATTTCAATTTTTATCTTTAATTTTTTTTAAGTACGTATTGTGATATACAAAGACTAAATTTTCTTGTTCTAGAAATTTCCCATTTTTTATTTCTGGGTTGATAAAACTAAATTGCTAATAAACAGCGTACTTGCTTATAAACAGTCAGTAGCACGCAACAAAAATTAGAAGTCAGTATGATAAAAAAAATATAAAATTCCAATCTAAATATGAAAAAAAATAAAGATCACTTGATAACTTTTCTTAAGAACGGAAATTGAAGTCCCGTTTCATCTAACAAAGTACTACAATATTCATATAGATGTCGCTACAGGAAATACGTTTATAGTAAAAATAGTACGATTATTTCATTCATTCAAATTCCGGCAAAACACACCAAAAAAAAACGAGAAAATGCCAGGTGCACGCACACGTGCACGATAATGAGTTGTCCGGCCTATACGTCCATCCCACTCTCTTGCTATCTCATAATTGCATATGAAAAGAGAAGGGTAATAAAATAATAAAAACTCCAATTTGCGGCCGCCGGTTTTTTGTTCTGAAAATATTTCTATTTTCTATCTTCTACATATTATTATGTACATATTTACAAAAAAGGAGGATGGCAAGTGGTTGTACAAATTTATAATATTTGCAGCCAACTAAAAGTTTTATTTCATATTATTTTCTACATTTTAGTACTTATATGGATTCGGACCAGAGTAGGTGCGAATGTAATTATTTCTTGTATGGATCTTTGAGCTGTTATCTTTTATTGTTGCGTTGTGGCTGCGAAATATTTTATTTGTGGAGTTTACTATTTTTTATATGAAGGAAAAAACATTAACAGAGTAAGTATTACAATTTGCTAGGCATAGTTGTACTTAGTACTAAATTCAAGTAAATAATAGATATTAAAATAAATATGTAGGTATTGTATTTGATTATTTGAAAATAAAAATTACATATGCGACAATGGACTTTCCGCTTACTTAGCCGTAATATAAATATGACATATTGTCGTTGCAATGCACATACAGGCTGTTCCAATAGTGTGACAAAGTTTATAATTATTTTCAGTTATAGTTGTATAGGGCAAAATCTTCAGGCCAAAAACAAGATTTTCTGAACGTTTAATTCGGTCTGAAAATAATGAATAATGGAAATAATAATAAAATGTGAATCCGAGCAAGTAACTTTTTTCGTATCACTACTACAGGCAGTTATACTAAACTTTATCGCACTATTGTGGCACCCTATATATGACTAGATATATCATTATGGTAAATCAAAAGCATAATAGGTAAAAATGTATAATTATCTATGTTTATAACAAATATTATCTGGTAAAATTCTTTTCTTACTTTCAGATACAGAGACAGTTAAATATAACCGGAAGAAGTCTATATGTTATTTCGTAATATACCTATAGTGGTGAAAACAACCCGCTCTATGTAGAACAAATTAAGAAAGATGAAGAATTATGGAAAAAATCAATGGCAACAAATTTGGAACAATTTTATAAAAATTGTATACTACCAGAAATAATATACAAAAATATTCCACAGGGAAAAAGATGTATGGATCCAGAATATATTATAGAAGCTCAAATTAATAAAAAGAAATAATTTTATTTTATGATTTTTTAAATTTTTTCCTGTTCTACTGTACCTATTCTATTTATTTCTTTATTACTTTCATTTATTTACATATTTATTAAACTACACTGTTCCACAGAATTTCTGTTTATATTGGAGGTATTAAAGTACCTACAACTATTTTTTCAAGTGAAGTGAACTGAATACCTATTTCTCATAAAAAAAATTTAGTCTCAAATCGTCCTTTTGTACATAATTCTTTACACATTTTTTGGACAAAATAAGTATATCGTACATATTTTTTATATTTTCTCATTATTATGTATATTCACAATTAAAATTCTATTTATATTAATATGCGAATTTTTTTTATCAAGAATTACTTAATATTAATTATTAAAAATATAATATTTTCCATTTCTGTTTATACCAAAGTAAGCCGCTTTATTCACAAATCGTAATTATAACATAACTTTCCGTTATGAACAACTTTTCTTATTAACATTTTTTTATATTATCAAAAACAAAAGCAGTTTATTCTTCAACGTTATTAATTTTGTTAAATTTCTGATCACCCTGTATATATATAAATTACAGTTTTTCATGACAAACATATTCAATTAAAAAGCAAAATATTTTTTGTCACGAATTACTTTTTCTAGTAGAATAGAAAATAAAAATGTTTTCCCTCTTATCCACTAACCGTAGATACTAATATAGGTATATTAATTATAAATTATGGTTTTAAATAAACTAAAAATTGTTTATATTTCATATTTTCTAAAATTATATAATAGTATGGACTTGCACTGTTACTTATATACTTTTATACAAAAATATATCTAAAATGATCATGACATTCTTTAAATATTTACGTATCAATTAACAGAAACCATGACTACCAATTCAGAATCAGGTTATACCAAATTAACCACATACAACAGCTGTTCGTTAAAAATAACCCGAGTCCATTCATAAATAAATTTTTACTAGTGCGACATCTATTACAAATCAAGCGAATTAAAAGTCGGAGATAATGCTATTCATGAATGAATATTTTTTAATAATTTTATTCCAATATAACTTTTTAAATAATAAAGTGATGAACAAACTATGAAATAAAGTCTAATCAGTTTATTTATTTAAAGACAACTATATAAAAAATTGCATAATTCTACAATACTATGAAGAAATAATCGTTTCTTTGTAAAAGTCCAAAAAACCTTCATATTTAGAAATTAATTTCTCACGAATTATTTACCTATCCCAATTAATGTTTGCTTTACTGTCTTCATTTATACTTTGCCAAATGTGATATGAAATTTAACTACTTTCTTCCATTGCTTTAAAAAGGTATATTGGAATAAAAAAAGGGCTGTTTTCTACCATTTTTCGGTATAATTTAGGCAACCAGAAATGCATCAGTTTCCATCCTTAAAGTTCATATATATGACATGTATTTGGTGTCAAATTAATCAGCAAGG